AAAAAAACAAAAAAAAAAAAAAAAAAAAAAAAAAAGACCATGAGACCTGAATCATCTCATGACTGCCTGGATAAGGGTTTCCAAAACCCATCCTCCCCGATTCCCTACCTACCCCCTACTCCTTCCTCAACTTTTTGCGCTTGAACCCTCTCAGTTTCCCTTCCTCTCTTGCTCCTCAGTCCCCATCTATTCCTTCTCTCTGCCTCTGGTTTCTTACTTTGCAAACCACAGCCCTTGCTCTGACCCTCACGGTTTCTCAGCCAGTCAGGGCGTGTGGCCTCACCCACCTGACTGCAGGTGTAGGAGCCCCTTCTTTATATATGCTCTGATGCTCTGAGGGGGTGTGTGTTCCCAGGAAGTGGGCATCACAGCAGAGCCTCATTTCAGCTTAGAAAGTAGCTGCCAGGATCCCAAATTCCCACTTCCTTTGGCATCCTTAGAGTACCGGGCAAAATGGGGAGGCTTGGGGACCCTCGTTCTCTGCCTCCTTCCGACAGTGTTGCCTTGTGTTTTGCTCCTTCAGATGAAAATCCCATTGGATGAAAGTGTCTGCCTGGACCAGGGAACTATTCCAGGCAACAGCCAATCATGTATTACTGCCATCAGTACAGTTCCCAGGTATCTTCCCTGCCCCGGCAGGGTGAGTCTGCTGTGGCTCACCCCCTGGTAGCCTTTGCCAGATTTGGACTTGGTGTTAGATGATGGGGAAGCAGGTGCTGAGCATCGCTGGTAATGGGTAAGGATGAAGCCTGAACCCGTGCTTGTAACTAAGCACTTCCAAGTTCATGTGAGCAGTCATTGCGTTTCAGGTACAGGGAGGATAGGAAGAAAGGCTGTGCTCTGGCACGTTCATGCTCTGTGGTCGTATCTTCATCGGAAAAAACCTCCAATCTCTTCCTTTTCCCCTCCTCCTACTGCCCCTTCTATCCGCCCACTGCCCCTTGTATGCCCTGGAAGGTGGACAGGTGATGCTACCTGTGGTTCCTTTCATAGAGAAGGAAGCAGAGGGCTAGAGAAGAGAGAGGCTGAATGGAAGTTCCTCCATGGGGTAAGAGAGGTCTGGCACCGCGTGGAGGGTGCACCCAGGGGACTTTTTCCGCCTATCACGTTACTTTGCATGTGGCCCTCACAGGAACTTTTTGAGGTCTGCAGGACAGATTGAATTTCCATTTGAGAAAAGAAAAAAATGGAGATACAGAAACAACCTATTTGTCCAAGCTCACTGAGCAAGGCGGTGAGAGACTGAGAATTTGAAAGGTTTCCTGACAACAAGCCCTTAGCTGGGACTTTTAATGACAGCTTCTGAAGTTCAGTTGTGTTGTTTTTGCTTTTGTTTTCAAAGATAAGCTCCCTCGTCTATGCAGGAATTGATTCTATTGGAGCCTTTGTATGGAAGCAAGAAGGCTAGTGTCCCTCCCTCATGCCTGGTCTTTCTAGAATCAGCTGGGGATGAGGGGTGGTCAGAGAAGGGTGCAGAGGTCACTCTTTGTTACCCACGAAAGTTCAGTGGTCCCCCCGTGGTGACTGGGTGTCTAGGGAACCAAGAGCAGTCTTTATGCCCTCTGTGATGTCAAGGGCATCCCCACTGAGTCTCCATGACAAATCCCCTTGTCCTCTTGCAGAATGTCTACTACCACCTAACTGGGGAAGTCTATGTGGGACCACTGATTGCTGAGACAGACATTGATGACTGCTGTCTGACAGACCCTGGCAAAGGGGAGAAGCCTACTGTAGAGCCATGTTCCAAGGCAGTCAAAAATAGACTTTCAACCGGTGAGTCAAGTGTTGTGTTTTTTTAAAGATGGATATATTAAAATATAATCTGAGAGGTTCAGGTTTGATCTGGTAGTGTTTTAGAAAGATTAATTTTGTAGCAGTGT